GTCTCCTCCCATGCAATGAACTGCCCGCAAAAATCCACTGGAAGGTCAGTTCTGACTCAACGATACACAACAACAACAATGTATAGACTGTCCATCTTCATACATACTGTTCATGCTTTACAACAATGTGAAAGAGCAAAAACAAATTACAAAATGGAAGAAGATAACTTCGATTCATACAAAAAAGATTGACAAAATATTTCCAATAATCGATAGACTTAAAAATTGTACAAATTACTGAGGATGTAATTACAAATTGTACAAATTACTGTATGGATAATCACAAATTATAGATACAATTGAAAAAAATGGGAATCCCAGAATAATTGGAAGCAGGAGTGGCATCCACTTCCTAAACAACATGCCTCTAGAAACTATGGACTCTGAAAAATGACAATAGTTACAGAAAAGTTTCAGGTCTTTTGTTCATAGGGTCGCTGAGTCATGCTCAACTTAATGACAATCTACAACAATACCTAAATCAAGAAGCTGTCTGAATAGAGCAAGGGAACACTGCATGATTTAAAAATCACTAAATGGGTGTAGCCCTGGTGGTCTAGTGGCAAGAAGCTGTGCTGCAATCACAAAGGTACTCGGTTCAAGGCCACCAGCTGCTCTGTGAGAAAAGATTAGGCAGTCTCTTCCTGAGTCTCTGAAAACGTGCTGTAGGGTCAGCTCTGGGTCAGTTCTGACTCTGCGGTACATAACAGCTGCAAAGGGGAGTATGTCAGGGCTGTATTTTCTCATTACCTATTTAATTTACATGCAGAGCAAATCAGTAAACTGATTTTATGAAAAAGAGTACATCTTCAGGATTGAAGAAAAATTTATCAAAAACATAAATTTTGTGGATGATATAACCAAGCTTGCTGAAAGTAAAGATATGTGTCATTTAGAGAAGATTAAGGACTACACTCCTCAATATAGACTATATTTAAGCATCAAAAAGACAAATCTTTACTCCTGGGCCAATAGACAATATCATGATAGATGAAGATTGAAATTGTCAACAGTTTGATCTTGCTTGGATCCATAATCAGCACCATTGGCACTGTTGTTAGGTGCTGTCAAGTCTACTCCAACTCTTAACACGTTGCTGCAAGTGACGGTAATACATTGAAAAAGTATTTCTAAGTACGGTCTCCAATTTAAAGTGTGTGGCAACATGTTAATAACTGTACAACAGTGCTGGAAGTCTTCTCTATTCTGAGCCAATTTTATCTTCTCTGACACACCTATCTCCATTACTCCAGTCACTGAGTCAGTCTCATCCAGTCTCATCTCTTGTATTGTCCCTTCACTCTTCCAAGCATATTAACCCTCTCCAAGGATTAGTCCCTCTTTGGAACATGCCCAAAGTATGTAGATAGAGCTCAAAATCCTTGCTTCCAAGGAGTAGCCTGGTATCACTCTCTTCAGGGCAGACCTGTTTGTTCTCTTAGCAGTCCACATGGTACATTCAGTAGTATTCTCCAGCACCACAACTCAAAGGCATTGTCTTCTTCTGTCATCTTTAGTCATCTAGCTCTCTGATGCATAGCAAGTAATTGCAAAGACCATGGCCTGGATAAGGTGCACCTTAGTCTCTAGACTGACATCTTTGCTTCTTGGTTCTCTGGAGAGGTGTCTGACAGCAGATTTTCTCAGTGCAATTTGTCTTTTGTTTTTCTGGCTGCTGGTACCAAGAGTTTTGATTGTGGAGCCAAGTAAGCTAAAACTGTTAACAATCTCAATCTCTTCACCATCTGTTACGATGCTGCCAGTTGACCCAGTAGTGAGAATGTTTGTTGTTGGGGTTTTTGTTGTTGTTGTTTCCATTGGAACTAGCAGTCAAGAAAGCAAAAGAAGTAATTACTTTGATTTAATCTGTCAAAGATCTCTCCAAGGTGCTAAGGAGCAACAGTGTCAGTTTGAAGACCAGGGTGCACTTGATTCAAGCCATGATCTTTTCAATTACTTGCTAAGCATCTGCATGTTGAACAATGAATTAAGGATGACAGAAGGTGAAGAGTACTGAATATCCCATCCTGAAAGAAAAGGGAATCTACTGAATATCTCTGCCGAAAGAAAAGGTAATCTACTTTGCAGAAAGTGCAGCCAGGGTGCTTCTTAAAGGCAAAGATGATTAAACTTCATCTCACATACTTTGGTTATATTGCCAAAAAAAAAAAAAGAAAGAAAATGCAAAGAAATCTGGAAATGACCTACATATCCTATATGTATAACTTTTGTTCAAATCAACCTAACATTATAATAATCTGAAAGTGGATGAATTATTGCTGTGCACAACCACATAAATACATTTTAGAAATAATGCTGAGTGGAAAAAAGCCTAGAAAAAGAAAACCAAACCCCAAACCAACTCACTGCTGTCTACTCAGAACCAACTTGTAGCTGACTCCCCAGTGAGTTTTTTGAGATTGTAAATCACATGAGAGGAGATGGCCCACAGAGCCACAGATTGAAATTTTCAGAGAGATGCTGTCCTTGTGTTAGCAGTGCAACTCTCTACAGACTATCATTGGAGCTCACCAAAGATTATTTTTCTGTTGTATGTTTTTAAAAGTTAATGGATTATTGCTGTATATAAATACATGGATACATTTTAGAAATAATGCTGAGTAAAAAAAAAAATCTCAGAAAACTCTAGTTTGCTCAGAAAAAAAAGCCAAACCACCCCACCTTGTTGGTTTATATGGGATGCATAATAAAATGATACAGGAAGCAGTGGAATTAAACTGCTGTGTAATTATTTTACCACTTATAATTATTTTACTGGGTGCTGGTTAGCTTAGGATACTAGTTATTCTAGGATGAGGAAGAAGTAGGGTCAGGGAATATGTCTGGGGAAGCATAGATACATGCATACTATCATTTGTTTGAATAAAGATATTCACTGTATTTCTATTTATACATTACTTGGCTTTTTATGTATAAGATATAAAGACAAATTATCTCAGAACTTAAGTTGAAGGACTTTGGACCATTTACAAAAGTCTTGGGAAGGATCATGGCTCTGTGTTTACATGGCATGTTTTTGTAAGATTTTGAAAAGATATTTAAACTTCAGTTGTTGAAAACTACCATCTCTCTTCACCTTGACTTTTCCCCTTATCTTCATGTCAAGTAGTGGTAGTAAAAAAACATACTTCGGGAATTTTAGGATTATGGTTGCATTTCTTGTGATTGCACTTCCTGTGCATTTAGTTGGCTGTCTTTGTGGTTCACAGTCACTTCTGAGTATTGGCAGTTATTTCCTATCAGTCTAATTGTGATGGAAGTGTGTACTCCAGTGCTTGATATCTGAAACAGGTGAGTTGTGAAGAAATCAAGGTGTGCAAATTATGAAGCCATATAATAGTCTAGTATAATTTTCCTGATTATCTGATGTATGCAACTGTGAGTAGAGGATTTAGTTCTCCTACTTTACAGTTAAAACCACCTGACTTGTCAGAAATGTGTTCTACAGTCAATATTTTAACAAACTCATTGTACATTAGTGAGGTTTTTATAGAAATAGGTAGAAAATCGGCTTTTAAACATTGCTAGGAATTTTTCATAATGTTTGTTAGGTTACCTGTAGCAGTATCAGCTTGAAGTATGTCTTTTGGTGAAGGTACTTATTTTGTACACCCTGATTATCACTAAAAACAATTAAATGTTGACCAAATACTGATCATCCAAGCTAAAGGAAAGACTTGATTTTCTGTTCTTTATTGGCATTATTACAAAATTGTATTGATGAAGACAATCAAATAATATAGTCATATAGAAAAAAATAGAATGTGGGGTGTTTGAGTAATAGCTTTCTACAACTTGACATTTTTTCCTTTGTTTTTCTCATTCTAAATATCTATCTCAATTTTAGGTCTCTCAAAACCTAGAGCTATTTCTGATCTGATGATTATTTGACAAAAAAGGAAGATCGGAAAACAAGCGTCAAGTAAGAAAATAGATACTGTTAAGATAAAAAAACACAACCCAGGCATTTTGTGTTTGGTTATTTGACTTAAAAGGTCTTGGATTCTGTTTTGAAGTTGAAGTGAAGAGAGAAGGTGGTTTGATAACCGTTCCCTCATGTGTCAGTATAATTAATTTTATTTTGTGTGTATTTTACTTTTATGTGCTTTATTCTTCATGTTTTTCTTTGCCTACTGACAGTCTACTCAGTTTTGGTAGAAATAATAAAAATCCAAACCTGTTGCTTTATGTCAATTCCAATTCCAGTTGCAACCTTTTAGCAGTGTGGATGCTGGGTATTAAATGTGCAATTTTTTTCCCTGTTACTGGTTGATTTTGTTTTAAAATTGTGAAAAATAGTTAATAATAATAGTTAATAATATATAACTTTAAGTTGACTGCCTTTATTATATTTAGTAACTCTTTTACCTTGGAAATCTGAGCTTTAGGAAGACTTTAAAAGCTGCCACTATGTAATGAAAATAGGTTGTTCTATAGCTGCTCTTGTTATTTTTATATATCACTGGATCAGAACCAACTCAGTTGACCCTACATTAGATTTTCAGAGGCAGTAAATCACATGGGAGGAGGTTACCCATCGTCCTCCTGCAGAACAATTGTTGTATTTGAACTGTGTGCCTATGAGCAGCGCACTCCTCACCCCTAAGCTGTCAGAGCTTTCTGAATGTTCTATTTTTAAAAATTAACAAACAATTAAATTTTTAAATGTTTCCATTATTAGCTTGGGTAAGTAAAAGTGAGTGATCATATGAGGTAGTAATAAACGGTGGCCAGAAAAATACTTAGTACCACAGAAAACCTTACTAGTGTAAGTTTTAAATTGATAAAGCTTTGTATTATAGAAAAATTTGATACTGGTTTTCTGTTATCAGTAATATAGAAGAAAAGTTACTATTTCCAATATAAATTAACAAAATCTAAAACCAACATTTTTTTTATATGGTAAATAATTAACTTGAGATTTTGCTTACTGGGAAAATGCATTTAAATATGGTATCTTAAATTCTAGGATATGAAAGATGGCAAGTTCAGATGGGATTAACCGGAAGATATTAAAAGCCAAAAAAACAATGCCTCCAAGTTGCCGTAAGCAAGTAGAGCTCTTAAATAAGTCAAAGAATGTTGAAGCACTGAAAACAGAAACAAATGGGAATAATGAACCAAGTGGTAATCAGAATTTAAGTGTTGCTATCAATTCAAGCAAATGTAGACATTCTAAAAGTGATGCTTCCTCACTGAACTCAAGCAAAAGTTCTGTATGCTCACAGAAAAATAAAGAATTCTTTCAGAACTTAATAAAAATAGGTGACAAAAGTGTGGATTCAGAAACAAGACTGGAACATGTTAATGATGTATTTGTGGACCCTTACCAAAAGTCAAGTAAAAGAATACGTTCATACAGAAACCTTTTAATAGATGAGACAAAAGAGCCAAAAAATACTTCAGAAAATACTTCTGTAAGTCAAGAAAATATATCAAGATCTAATTTTTATCTACCCACTGGCAATTGTAATGAAAAATCCACTTACTATTCATCAAATATTTTGAATGATAAAATTCGAATACCCATTACCTTGCATGCAGAAGGAAGAGGCAAGATGTCTTATTTGGAAACTAACTCCAAGTCAGAGTCCCGTGATCAAAAACAAAATAACAGATTAAATTCAGACTCATATATTGTGCCTGTTGAGAAAACTCCCAGTTTGCTAAATTCAGTAAGTCCTAGCAATTATGCTACTGATGTTTTGAAAACTAGAGAATCCAGAAGAACTTGCTCTCCCAGCATTTCTAATTGTGGAAGTACAGCATTAACATGGCATTCATCTCTTGACGTCAATAGTAAGTGTCTACTGTGCATCTTTTTTTAGAAATTAAAATAGCCACTTTTCCTCTGGGATATTTCAAAATTTTTAAATTTCTGATATATTCAGAGTGGGCATAAAGATAAGAATGCCAGTTTAGTAGGTATATGTAGCACTGTTATTTGTACATTTTTTACTTAAATTAGCAATTCTTTGAATTCAAGACTGAAGAAAAGCCCATGGTGTGTCCCTGGAATGAAAGCTATGCTTAGGGACAGAAGGTTTTAATGGGAAGAGAGTCTGGTAAGAGTGAACTGAGCAGGGGACTACATCTATAGAGGAACTATAAAGAATAAAGCAACCAGCAGAACGTTCCAAATTGTACAAGAATACACATGAATGCTAAAAATTATTTCATAGTTTTTATTTTCAACCAGAGGAAAATAGCCAACATATCCACAGGGAAGTGAAATCTAGCAAAGGTGTCATTTATCCTTGAGAATGCAAAAAATATAAAAATGTGGTATGACAGTTGGTCAGCTCCTTTCATCTAAGCCTCTTCTTTGAAGTGCCATTTATTGGGGATAGGGGTGGGCAGGGAGAAAAGTGCAACAATGAATGAATGGAAATCCAAAGTCTCTGTAAATTGTCATTAAAATTAGTAATAGTTAAAGAAAGGTGAAAAAGAAATGCCATTTGTTAGATTAACAAGGAGAGTCTCTTCCAAAGATTAGTTGAAAGAAAATGACTGTAAAATTGTTGATGAACACATGTATTTCCACAGACTTGAGCTGTAAGTCGCATTTCAACAATACACAAAGTGATAATATATGTGCACAAAAACAGAGAGAGATGTTGGTGTGGAGAGAGAACAAGTGTTTGCCAGATGAAATTCTGAAATTAGCAGCAAAGAAAATTTTATTACATTGAGAATGTTTTCACTGGTTAAAGCCTTCTTATCAGTGCCTCTAAAGCATTAATTTTAAAAGTTGTTTGGAGAAAATAGGCAGTTTATTAAAAAATATGTAGGACTGTTTAGGTAACTGTTTATATATAATGGAAGATTTCAGTAATAATGAAGCCATGATTAAATGCTTTAATTTATTTAGTTTTTATTGGTATATACCTAAGAATATCCAACAATAGGACTTACCCTACAAGTTTTTAAGAAGTAATTTTTAAGTGTTTTTCTACAGTTACATTTTATGAATAGTGCTATCATCAGATTTTTTTTACTTTGAGTCCTAGAATGGAGGGAATTTCTGTTTCCATCTTTAGAAGAAAAAAAATCATCTCTGGATTTTCCACTTCCCCAAGGTCATAATCAAAGGAAGAAGATGTCTTCAGAAAATAAAGAAAATGTTAAGCGTTTGAAAACTTCTGAGCAAAATAATGAAACTATTAGTGTAGCTCTGGAAAAACAAAGAATACTGCTGGAACAGGTAAAATGTGAGAGCTTAACTATCATTTGCTTCAGAAATAGTCCTTTGGATTAGTTAAAAATTCATTAATCTCCACAGTGCCTTAATATAGATGATTGTCAATAATAAATATTGTTTGTGAAAATAAAATTAGCTGATGGATTAAGGAAAAATAATTACTTCCATTATTAAAAACGTCTTTATTCTTAAAAATGCAGAATAACCTAGAGAGTTCTATAGAGTATAGAACTGAGCCAGAAAGAAAATAGGCTTGTCATTCAGTATAGAGCTTAATCCCTCATGTGGGTCATACACTACTTGACCTGCACAGATTGTTTAGCTTTACTACACAATCCTATCTGGCTTTTACATGTCATGGGCTTCTTTGATCTGCAGCTATGATTAGATCTTATTGCTACTGATGGATAGCTTCTTTATCCAGGAGATCTGCCACACTGGGTCTCAGCTGTGGTCTGAAAAGGGTATCTTGTGCCATGATATTTGTATGTCTGGCTGTCCTTATGGTTTGCTTTTAGAAGTACACTACCTATCTATCAGTTTGGTTATTGGGGAATGATTTACATGTTGCCAGTTACTTAATAAGGCGGATGTGTTTAGGCTTGTGTATTATATTATTTGCTCCTGTTAGTTTGCTGTACTGCTTTAGCTTATGCAGTGCTCTACCTGGAATTTCTACCAGTGGCTCAAGTAGTAGAAAGATCACCCATTGTGGAGTGATTGACACAAAGATCCTAGATTAAGACAGACAAGGGAGAAGGATTGGCCATCTACTTCTGAAATAACAGGCCTTCAAAACTCTGTGAACAGAGGAATGTGGGTAAAGTATTATACACAGAGCTCAGATAGGAAATAATTCTAAATTAGTAGAAACAGCTGCAAGGATGGATTGGCATGGCGACTTCAGCAGTGAGTTCTAGTGTGTCAGAGGTGATGAGCATGGAAAAGGATAGGGCAGGGCTTAGGCTAGTTCTTCATAGGGTCACTATGAGTTGTACTCAACTCACCGACACGTAACAATAACTGCTTTCTGTACTCATCTGGAAGTCCATTGTAAAAATCCTCATCCATTCAGGTTTACTTTTCCTAATTTCTGTACTAACACTGATAGACTACTTTTTCTGATATTATGCTTTATGTTGTTTGTGTTATGTTCCGTCAATTCACTTGTGACTCATAGCAACCCTATGTACAACAGCCCTAAAACTTGCTCTATCCTGTGCCAGTCTCACTGTCTCTGACACACCTTACCCTCTTTACCCTAATTACTGAATCAGTTCATTTTATTGAGGGTCTTCCTCTCCTACACTGTCCCTTCACCCTCTCAAGCAAGTCCCTCTCCATGGACTAGTGCCTCCTTTTAACATATGCAAAGTATGTCAGATGAAGCTTCAGAATCCTTTTCTCCAAGGGGCAGCCTGGTTTCACTTTCTCCAGGATAAACTGTTTATTAACAAACAATGCATGGTATATTGAGTATTCTTCTCCAACACCACAGCTCAAAGGCATCAATTCTCCTTCTGTCATCCCTAGTCCAGCTCTCTGATGCATAGCAGGTGATAGCAGATAGTATCATTAAAGAGAAAATTTTGCTTTTGTCCTTCCTATGGTTCATCTCCTTGTACCACAGTCTATAAACCTGTTTGATCTAACTCTGTGTTAGTGTTGTTGCTGTTGTTAGGTGCCATCAAGTGTAGTACAATTCATAGCAACTCTATGAACAACAGATCTGACCTATTGTGTGCCGTCTTCATATTTCTGACACACTTGAGAGCCCAGTGATAGAATCACCACTGTGTCAGTCCATCTCATTGAGGATCTCCCTGTCTTTCATTGACTCTCACCTTTCCAAACATGATGTCCTTTTCTTCTCCTTTGAACATGTCCAGATTACGTGAAATGAAACTTTGCCATCTTTGCCTTCAACAAACACTCATTATACTTTTTCTAAGATATAGCTGTTTGTTCTTTTGGCATTTGGTGGTACTCTTCTTAGCACCACAACTCAAGGACACCAGTTCTTCTGACAGCCTTATTCATAGCCTCGCTCTCATATGCATAGCAAGTAACTGAAAAGACCATGGCCTGAATCAACCTCATTTTAGTCTTCAAAGTGACATCATTTCTTCTCATTAATTTGGCAAGGTCTCTAACAGCAAATTTCCTCAATACAATACATCTTCTGTTTATTTTGTGTGTGTGTACGAGGAGATTATCCCACCTTCTCCAGCATCTGGTGGATTCAAACCGTGGGCCTCTGAGATTGTCTTCTGTTCTTTTGACTGCTGGTACTGAGGTGTTGATTGTGGCTTCAATATGGCGAAATAGTTGACAGTTTCAGTCTTTTCTCCATCTGTCATGATGTTGCTTATTGATCCAGTGGTGAGGATCTTTGTCATCTTGATGTTGAAACACAATCTTTATTGAAGGCTGTAGTCTTTCATCTTCTACAGTAAGCATTTTTAGCCTCCTCACTATCAGCAAGGAAAATTGTGTCTTCTGCATAATGCAAGTTATTGAGGATTCTTCCTCTGATCCTGATGCCACATACTGTTTCATAGAATCCAGCTTCTCAAATGATTTGCTCAGTGTACACACTGAATAGATATGGAATGAAGATGTAACCCTGATGGCACACTTCTCTTTATTTTAAACCATGTGATATTCCCTTGCTCTTTTTGGACAACAGCTTCTTGGTCTAGGTACAGGTATCATGAGCATAGTTTATTGTCTTGGGATTCCCAGTCTTCTCAGTATTAGTCAGACTTAGCTATGATCCATCTGGTCACATGCCTTTGCATAGTCAGGTAAAATGCAGGTAGACTTCCTCTGCTATTCTCTGCTTTTAGTCAGGAACCATCTGACATCAGCCATGATATCAGCAATGATACTCAATTCTTGGGAATGACTATAATCAGAACCTGTTTAATGATCATGTTTTACTACTTGACCACCACTAGAATGACACCAATAAAAGTCATTAAGTGGCAGATTGATAGAGTTCTGTGGTAATGGACCATAATCCTGTAATCTAAATTGTTCTGCAAACTATTTCAGATAGAAATGAATGTTCTCGATAACAGATCATTACCATTATATTATGTGACTATAATATGAGCGTTTTTGAAAGGTTCAGACTGACCAGGTTAAAAATCATACCCTTTTAGAGTTTGTAGTATTTTGACGGGCATGGAGATGTTTTGTGGTTTTAATTGAAAAGCAGAAGGTTTTTAGTATATAGTTCATTCTGTTTGTATCTAGTTTTGGCTTTTAGAGATCTGCTTTGAAAGATCAAAACCTTGAAAAAATATTAAGCAGCTTTACTCTACATAAGTTAACCATAAATCAGAATCAACTCAATGGTTGATTGACTACCTGCTGTGAGAAGCTTCTTGTTTCATCTCCAGAAACAACTCAAATTTTAAGCTACTTTTTTGCTATGCACACAGGCTAGACTTAAAATGTATTTGAGTTACAATGAATGATATTGCTTGGTTTAGTGTGTCATTATTAATATGTGCAATGAATAGGTTATAGCAACTGATTTGCTGATCTCAGATAAAGTGTTTATCACCCCCAAATTCAAAAGGCAGGTTAAAAAGATACTGATAATAAAAGATAATAATGAAAACTAAAACCCACCAACAGAGAAGTATTCAGTTTATGTCAGAACTGACTGATGACTGTAATGTTGGAAGGATACCCCATCTTAAGTTGAGGACTGAAGACATAAATGTATGGGTTTTTTTTTAAATCTCAGGGGTACTGTGTCTCTCCTAACATTGTTCTAGAACTAATGACACTTTGGCTTAATTCTGTCTAAATTACTGGAATATGTTTTCCTATTACATTTAACCTATTCACTGCACTCAAAGTGTCTTAGAAAGCTGAAGCACCTTAATGAGCAAGAGCCTGTGGTGATGAAGTAAGAAGTTCAAGGTGCCCTGAAAGAATTGACAATAAACAAAGCCCCAGGAATTGGTGGCATATCAGTTGACATATTTCAACAAAAAGTCACTGCTGTAGATACGTTCACCAAGTTTTGCCAAGAAATCTGGAGGACAACCACTTGGCAAACTGACTGGAAGAGATCCGTATTTGTTCCCATTCCAAAGAAAGGTGACCTGACAGTGTGGGAATTACAGATCAATGTCATTAATATCATAAGCAAGCAAGATTCTGCTGAAAATTATCCAAAATGACTAGAATAGCACATCAGCAAAGAACTGCCTGAAGTGCAGACTGGGTTTAGAAGGGGCTGTGGAACTAGGGATATTATAGCTAGGGATATTATAGTCAGATGGATCTTGGCTGAAAGCAGAGAATACCAGAGGAATGTCTGTATCATTGACTGTGCAAAGGCATTTGACTGTGTGGATAAAAATAAACTGTAATTAACTCTGAAAAGAGTGGGAATCCCAGAATACTTGATATTGCTTATGTGAAACCTGTACTTGGACCAGAAGGCAGTCATCAGAACAGAACAAGGAAACACTACATGGTTCAAAGTCATGAAGGGTGTATACCAGGGAAGTGTTCTATCTCCATACCTTTTCAATCTATATGCCGAACAGATCGACCAGGAGACTGGGCTCTGTGAGGACGAGTGTGGCGTCAGGATCGAAGGATGACTCTTTAATAACCTGCATTATGCAGATGACACAACCCTGTTTGCTGAAGACCTGAAGCGCTTTCTGCAGAAGGTCAAGGTCTACAGCCTTCAGTATGAACTGAAGCTCACCACCAAGGAAACAGATTCTTGCTGGGCCGATTGGCAGCATCATGATAGACGGTGAAGAGATTGAGATTGTTAACAGTTTCAGTTTGCTTGCCTGCACAATCAACACTCTTGGTACCAGCAGCCAGGAAATCAAAAGACAAATTGCACTTGGAAAGTCGGCTGTCGGGGACCTCTCCGCAGTACTGAAGAGCAACAGTGTCAGTCTCGAGACTAAGATGCATCTGATTTAGGCCATTTGCAGTTACTTGCTGTGAGTCAGAGAGCTTGACAGTGAATGACTAAGGATGATAGGAGAATTGATGTCTCTGAGCCGTGGTGCTGGAGAAAAAAATATACCGGGGATTTCGAGGAGAACAGATTCATCCTGGTAAGGTTGAAACCAGGCTGCTCCTTGGACGCAGATTCTGAAGCTCCTTCTGACATACTTTGGGCATGTTGCAAGGTGGGATCGGTCCTTGGAGAGGGACATAATGCTTGGGAGGGTAGAGGGACAGCTCAAGAGAAGATGACCCTCCTTCATGAGAGGGATTGACTCAGTGACTGGGGTAATGGGGGTAGGTGTTTCAGAGACAAAAAGGTTGGCTCAGAATAGAGCAGGGTTCAGAGCTTCTGTACATAGGGTTGCTATGAGTCACAAGTGACTTGACGCATAACAACAATCTTTCTCCAATATTTAGGATAGTTTGGCTAGTTCTTCAAATTGAAGCTAGGACTGATTTTTGTGATGAGGGACACATTTATTATCTTTATTTTTAAATATCCTTCAGTCAAATCTAATTCATAGCAACCCCATATTCAACAGAAAAAACATCGTCTGGTCCGTTACCATTCACATAGTTTTGCTGTTTTTGAACTCGTTGTTGGAGCCACTGGGTCAGTCCTTATTGAAGGTCTTCCTATTTTTCTCTCACTTTACCAAACATGGTATCTTTCTTCAGGGACTGATCCTGCTTTATAACATGTCCAAAGTACATGAGTTAAAGTCTTTACATCCTTCCTTCCAAGAAACATTCTGACTGCACTTCTTAGACACAGCTTATGTTTGTTCTTGTGACATTCTGTCTTAGAATTGGTCATTCATTATTTTGGGGGATTGTTACCCACTTAGGAAATAACATTACTTTGAAAGCTCTCTGAATAACAGAGGAACATTGACTTTAGTTAGGTACAGTACCACAAGCAGAACTCCTCAGATTGCAAGACATTAAAAAAATAATAAGCAGCTATAAACATCCACTGGAACATGGAATGTACAATGCAGGAGTCTAGGAAAATTGAAAGTTGCTGAAAGTGAAATGGAACACATGAAGATTGGCATCTTAGGCATAGTTGAGTTGAGTTGAGTTGGACTGATACTGGATACTTTGAATTAGACAGTCATATGATCTATTATGCTAAGAATGATAAATTGAAGGATGGTGGTGTATTTATTTTGATAAAAGAATATTTCAAGACCCATCCTGAAGCACAATGTTGTGAATGCTGGGTACTATCCATATGCCACACAAGGAGGACATGTTAATACAATGACTCTGGTGGCTTACTGGTAAGGAGTCCTGCTTCCAACTCAGTGGCACTTCATTTGAATATACTGGGCACTTCTTGGGGAAAGATGGGCATTCTCCTCCTGTTTACTTACTGAGAAAACCCGCTAGAGGATCAGCTGTGAGTCAGTTCCAACTTGACAGTATATAACAACATTCAATTATAGCCAATAACCATTGAAGAAATTGGGAACTTCTATCAGGTTTTGGAGTCTGAAACGGATTGGACATTTAACTAAGATGCACTAATAATTGGTGAAAGGACAGTGTGCTCTTTGGAGGCTAAAATGATAAAACTTCATCTCATATTTTGGGCATGTTGCTAGGAAAGTATATTCTTTGGAGACGGACATCATAATTGGAAAGGTGGAAGGTCAGCAAAAGAGATGAAGACCCTAAATGAGACGTATTTGACACAATGACAGTAACAATGGGCTAAAGTATGTCAGAAATGATGAGGATGGCACAGAATAGGACACAGTTCAGATCTGTTGTTCATAGGGTTGCCATTGTGTCAGACCTGACTCGTAGCTGATCTTCCAGCAAGTTTTCAGTGGTTTGCACATCATTCTCCCTTGGAGCAGCTGGTTAATTCAAACTGCATGTCTTTACACTCTACCACCAAAGCTCACTATCATTAGTGATGCTTTTTAATTATACAGCTTTTCTAGGCTCCTTCTCTAGAGCCAGAGAGTAGAATAGAGCCATATGCATAGCAAAAAAGTAGCTTAAAACTTGTTGCAATTAGATTTGGGCCTAAAAGTTTGTGGTTTTAACATATATCTAGTGTGATTTCCCTCCCTCACATTATTTAAAGCATTTAGATATATTTCTCCAAGATCCATATGGGTTTGAACATTACATTTTGACCATAGCCAGTGAACTGACAAACTTAGAGTGAGCCATTAAACTCAGGTATGGGTAACAGGTAATGACTGAAAGTAAAAATGGTATGTATTTCTGATTATTTATTTAGACAATTGGAAACATATTTTGAGCAGTCATTCTTTTAATCCAGTATTTGGATGGTGATGTTATATGCCATTGAGTCAACTGCAACTCTGCAAACCCATGCACAGTAGTCTGAACCCTGACCTATCCTGTGCCAGCCTCACTGGCACGGACACATCTAGTACCATTGCCACAGTTACTGTGTCAATCCATCTCATCCCGAGTCTCCCTCAACTATGCTGTCCCTCCTTGCATCCAAGCATGATGTTCTTCTTCAAGGACTGATCCCTCCTGGCAACATGATGTCCAAAGTACGTAAAACAGAGCTTCTATGTTGTTGTTAGGTACAAATCTGGCTATGAGTCAGAAACCCTAGGAAAATGGATCTGAACCTTGACCTATCTTGTGCCATCCTCATTGTTTCTGATAAGCTTAGGTGCATTTTTACAGTCACTGTATCAGTCTGTCTTGCCGAGAGTCTTTCTCTTTCGCTGACCCTCTACCTTTCTAAGCATGTCTTTTTCCAATGACTGGAGCCTCCTAACAACATACACAAAGTGTATGAGATGAAGTTTCACCATCTTTTCCTCTAATAAGTACCCTCTTAGTACCTTTCTCAAGACATATTTGTTTATTCTTTTGGTAGTCCATGGCATATTTAGTACTCTTTTCCAACACTACAACTCAAAAGCATTGATTCTTTTGTTATCTTTATTCATGGTCCAACTTTCAGATGCACAGCCTGACTTAAGTCAGGTGCAACTGAATCTTTAAATTGACATCATTGCTCCTTAACACTTTGGCAAGGTCCTTGGCAGCAGATTATCGAAATGCAACATATCTTTTGATCTTACAACTGCAGTTACCTTGGGTGTTGATTGTAGATCCAAGTAAAATGAAATAGTTGACAACTTTAACCTTTTTGTGGTCTGTCATGTTGCCTCACCCAGTGGTGAGGATTTTTGCTCCCTTGGTATTGAGCCATAATGCATGTTAAAGACTATAGTCTTTGATTTCTGCAGCTAGTGTTTCAAGTCCACTTTCAACAAGCGAACAAGTGAAAGTTTCACTTTCAACAAGCAAGGTTGTCTCATCTGCATAATTCAGGTTGTTGATGAGCCTTTCTCTGATCCTGATGCCTTCATAAAGTCCAACCTCTCTAACTGGTAAGAACTATAATTGTGTGCTGTTGATTGGGACCAACTCATAGCTGATCCTCCAGCCAATTTTCAGAGGCTGTAATCCTGGGAGATTCCATCTTTTCTCCCGCATAGCAGCTAGTGGATTTGAACATTGTGCCTTTGGATTTGCAGCTCAACTTTTTAATCATCAGAAACTAAAATTAGCTTTATGAGAATAAGTTTTAATTTCTAATATACCAGTGTTTAAAAACATTATATTTATTCTGCTGAGTTTGCTATGCAAGTGTTAAGAACACTTAATGGTGATAAAACTATAAATACCAACATATAAATTGTATTTTATTGAGTAATACAATCTAGAAAAGAATAAAGGTACTTCTAAGAAGTAGAATATAAAATTAGTTTTAAGTATGCAATCTATTTGGTTTCTGTTTTAAAATTCTAGGTCAAGCTCTTGATTCAGCAGGAAATCTGTGATATAAATTACAGTGTATTTGATAGTAAACTGAAGGAACTGATTGAACGCATTGGGAAGACACAGTGCAGAACTAGACATGAAACAATAGCTGATGAACTCTTTGTAAGTTTATTTAGTTTGATTCCTTTTTAAAAGTAAAATTTAATTATTCCATATTGAGAAATAAGGGCAGGTGCAAATCTTAATTCTAATAGAAAGCAAGATACACAACTGTACTATCTAATTAATTTGTCAGTAACCATTGGCTTCTTTTGGTGCTGTTGGCATTCTTAACTGAGAAGCATAAGACCTCGGTAATTTCAAAAATATATTCTGTACAACTCAGTGTCTTCTATATTAGAATAATACTGTGGACCCAAGTAGGATGACATTTTTTGTTTTAAAAATTAACAGTAAACTTAGGAGCTTGTTGCAAAGTTGGAATTTTTTAAACTTTCCTTTTTTACTTGCTGAGTAGTGTTTCTGGTCATGTTAATTTTAATTTTACCGAGAACCAGATAGGAGTTTGATAAGTTTATCAGTCTTGCATATAATACCAGCATCAAACTTTTTGTAAATAGGTTTTTTTATACTTTTATATAAACATTTCTCATCTGAGTGGATGTCTTAGTCTCAAAACTGTTTGACAAAAAGCAGCTTTCCCTTTATCCATATCTGATGTAGTTAATAATTAGTAGTTAGTAATCCATATTGGTATTTATTTGTTTTTCTCTCTTCTAGGCAAAAATAGCAAAACTTCAAAAACGTATTAAAACAATATTCTACCAAAGCAGTTGTTTGGAATCAGACGTGTTACCCAGTAATGTAGCCTATAAGGTTGGTATAAACACCTCCTCATACAGTTTGCATTCCCCCCGCCTCCTTTTTCTTTCTAAAATTTCTAGGAACATTTTGACTTCTATATAGATAGATTGTAATGGGAGGGAAATCTTTCTAAGGGAGGGTGGAGGGACAGTGTAGGAGAGGAAGACCTTGGATGAGATGGATTGACTCAGTGACTGGGGTAAATAGGGATGGGTGTGTCAGAGACAATGGGGTTGGCTCAGGACAGAGCAGGGTTCAGAGCTGTTGTACGTAAGGTCACTATGAATTGCAAGCAACTCGAGGGCACATACCACCACCTACAACAAGCTTAAGCAGAAGGATTAAAAGCTACAAGTTTATACTTAAAATGTTCCTATGACTCTCTGGTGAAGACATACCTATTAATAACCAAGAGTAAATAATACCACTTACATTTCTTTAGTAAAAAGTCCAAAGTGTTGTTGATTGCCTAGACTGTACCCCTTTATGATTTATTATGAAGAGGTTCAAACTTACCCATTACAATTGAAGGAAATTTACCATTAATGTATTTTATGGTGCTTATTTTACCTATTAATCTAGTCATCCTTCTTTTCATCTCATAATTTATTTTTTTTTTGTGGTACTGTGTGTTTTGTATCAAAGTACAAACCCATTGCCATTGTATACTCCCTCTCAGAGTAAAACTGCCCCAAAGGGTTTCCAGGACTATAAATCTTGAAGTAGACTGCCACATCTTTCTCTTAACAGAACAGCTGGTAAATTTCAACTGAAAACTTTTAGAGTAATTAGCAGCTCATTGCATAATTCACTGTATTACTATGGCTCCTTTTGAAATGTATACTTCTAAATACTTGAAGTAATGATCTACTTAATATATAATTAAGTAGAGTTTAAGAGCTGTTTATATTTTAAAATAAAACTTAAATGAATGAAATGCAAAAACCAAAGTGAATGGTCCCTGGATTTTTTTTTCTGTTAATGTGTTTATTCTGTGACACTGATGTGTCAGATGCATTAATGGCTGGTTACCCAATGTGGACAGAGAGTGGGATGGAGCTCCCTGAGGAAAACAAGCTTGGACGAGGAGTGGCATCCACTTCTGTAATAGCTTGCCTCCGCTTCTGTAATAGCTTGCCTCCGGAAACCCTGTGAACCTGGAGAGAGGAAGAAAAGTACCCAAGCGTTGAGAACTCTCCTTCATAAGGGCGTTGTGAGTTGCCTGCGGTACTTAACAACAACAACAATGTGTTTATTAAGCTTTTAGTATCAGGTATATGGGACTTCAGTAAGTTTGTGTATGATTGCTCTTATTTCCTTTAATGATAGAATTCATTGCTGAGAGCTGTCAGCAAAGGACCTTTTCTAAGAAGTCCTTGAATATTTAAATTGAGTTTCTTAATGGCGTTAGAGCAATTCTGTTTCCTGGTTTGTCATTTGTTAGTTTTGTAAATCAGTCTTGCAAGAACTGTGCTATTTTCCCCCCTAACTTGTTAAATTTGTTGGCATCAGAATATGCATAAAATCATCTTATTGTCTGTTCACTGTTTACAGGTCTGTATTTCTGGGCTCTTATTTCATCTTTGATATGGGTAACATGTGTTTTTTTTCTTTTTTATATTTGGTAGGATTTCAAGTTTATAGGCTATCATTTATCTCTTATAGTGTTTATTTTTGCCTTTTATTATTTCCTTTGTTTTTTATTTCTTTAGTTCTTTATCTGGCTTTTAAAAACAGAATATTAGCGTTTAACCTTCTTTCTAGTAGAAACAATAAATGCTGCTTCTCTCTAAGTTTTGCTTTAGTTACATTTCATACTTTTTCCTACTCTGTATCTTTGCTTTTATTAAGTTCAAAATCATTTTTAACTTGCATGGGGTTTTTTACCTATTGATTATTTAAAAGTGTGATCACACATCACTTAATATCCACAGTAAGTTCTGTGACATGATTTGGGTATTGTTTGAACATCCTGTTATATAGGTAATGCTAGAATACTCTCAAGGTGTGTAGTACATAAGATTGGATGCTGTTCCCTATGAATCAAGTGAGGTCTTTTTTTTTAATTTAAAAAAGTTCATGTTAAAATAACAGAAAATTTAGTGGCAGTATAACAATTTTTTTTATTACTTTCAGGGCACATACATTATAGGATGTGTTTGCATTGTACTGCCATAGGCCTGGCAGCAAAGTTGCTTCATAGAAGAGAGATTTGGGGTCATATGTGTAGTCTGTTCGAAAGATAATGCATCTGCTACATTCATCTCATTCTTCAGTCAGGATTTTTGAACTTTGTTGTAACCTTTGGAAGACCATGGATGTATTTGCAGTCAGACTTTACTTGACTAGATATTATACAGGGCAAGACTGTACAGGTAGTCCTTGGCTTTGGATGAGAGTCACTTCTGATGACTGTCATAATTCTGCCTTGTTGACTTGTCTCATGTTGTTGTTGTTATGTGCCATTGAGTCACCTGTGACTCATAGCAAAACTATGTACAACAGCTCTGAAGCCTGCCCTATTCTGAGCCAGTCTGAATGACTCCGACAAAACTACCCTCATTATTCTAGTTACTGTATCAATACATCTCATCCGTGGTCCTCCTCCCCTGCGCTGTCCGTCCACCCAGAAGAAAAATTGATGCCTTTGAGTTGTGGTGCTGGAGAAGAGTCTTGAACGTACCATGAACTGCCAAGAAAATAAGTCTGTCTTGGAGAGGATGAAACCAAGTTTCTCCTTGGAGGCTAGGATTTTGAAGCTCTGTCTCACAATACTTTGGCCACATGGCCGGGAGCGACCTGGAGAAGGACATCATCATGCTAAGTCTAATACTTCTTTTTAAATTTCGCCCTTAATTTTCATTATTACTGCTTTTTGTTATCAGTGTGTTTATAGGTCTACTCTTTAGGGGTTGAAAATATTGCATATAAATGTATAGATTTAACCTTGGTGCTTCTCAGTTCTCTAATTAAACACTTTTTGTAGACCAAAAATCCCCTAAACACAAAAAACAGGTAGTTTTTAAATATAATTTGTTGCAACTTGAATATATCTTAAGTTGGGGACAAGCTGTATATGTTTTGCTTGAAGAATTGGACGTTTCCCTAGAGATACTATTTTTTATAATATTTTTTTATTGGGAAAAACATATTGGGGGTACAAGGAGGTGAGGGTTGGGGGCAGAAGGGTGAGGATGGGCCAGGATGCAGTTGCAGAG